TTTCCCCCTCAGCTTTAGCACAGACTGAGTGTATGGATCAATGACACAGATGAGACAACCTGCTGTTGGCAAAAAAGAGTGATGCCACACCTCCCACATTCTCTAATTCTTCTCTCCCATACCAGTCATTCACTTACAGTTCCCCTCATATAAATCCAGGGTGGAGTTAATTCTACCTGTTAAACCAACAGAACTGTAACCTGCCAAGAGAAGGTGAACAGCTTCTAACAAATCATACGAAAAAACATGTCAAAACTTGCACACTAACTACAGCAACTTGCCAGTGCTAACTCCTAATGCTGCCAGCTGATTTTTTTATACCATTATTTTACTAAGCATTAGCAGTGTGCTTGGGCCTGCATGAGCCACAAGAGCAAACACGGTCCTAGCTTTGTCCATTTAGCCATTTTTCATCATAGTTCAGATTAATTTTGACAGTACCTTAATTGAGGATTTATTTTCTATCTTCCTGGATGCTTATTTTGTCAACCTTAAGCTCTTAAAAAACTAAGCATATGTTAGCCAGTTTCACTGCATAGTTAGCTATTTATCTTGCTTATGGGGCACTGTCACTTTGCATTTTTTTTGAACTGACTAATTGCTAACTCTTCTAATTGCTCACACAACACCCTTTAATTAGTATTTCCTGATTGCTTTTGAAAACATGTTCATGGAGACTACATGAAGACTTTTCTGTTCTGCTTTTGTTTAGCAGGGCTTTAAGTATAACGGGTCTGAGAGTACATGCCTAGAGAAAGAATACAATCAATCCCATAAGGTAAGCAAAATGAAAAATGAAGAGAAACATTTTTTTTCTCATTTTTTTCATTATGGTTACTTATTGCATTCATACCCAAAATACATTGAGTTAGAAATACAAATGTTCATGCTAGCAGTCCTTCCTTCTCTACTCTGCTTGAATTCATTGTCTGCTGTGTTGTCTTTCACCTTTACATTCTGGATTCTGCATTTCCTCACATCTGTCTTCAATGTATCTTAGTTATAAACCTTTCCTTCCCCTGGCTGACGAAGTGCATTAGCTTGCAATGTCCCACATCCCCACACAGAAAGAAACACATCTTGCCACATTTAAAAACTGCATCTCTTTCCTTTGGGCTCTCCAATCCTTTAACTCTCTCTAGGTCTTTCAAATTCAGTACTGAAGTGAGGTACTTGTCAGAAAAGTAACCCTAAACCCTGGCAGCACATGGCTGTATATTTATTTTCTCTCAATTACTTCATATCAGGTTTACAAAGTTTATGAAAACAAACAGCTTTAACTACTGTGAATTTGATTTGGGATCTAAAATAAAAAAAACAACTTCTTTCTGTCTTTCTATCTGAGGTTCTGATCCTGGGTGAAACTGAGTCTCTGACCTCTGCACACCTATGTGCTGAGCAGTGCTCAGGAATTTGGGGCTGATTGTGTCAGCTACTGAACTTTCTGTCCGTGTCCCCACCTCTTTCTGTCTCCTTACATTGCATTTAAAACCAAAGGCAACTGCCAGCCTGAGACCATCTGAAGCCATAGAGCTGCTAACCCATCAAGAGGCATCCTAACACTCAGCATCTGTGTCAGAGCCTTTGTGTGGCTGTGGACATTAAGGAGGAACTATGATCAACACTTAACTGAAATTTTGAAAATGACGTGGCATCTAAGCACAGGCAGCAGAGCTTGGCTTGGCAGGCCTGAGATGTGAAAAGCTGATATTCTGCAGAAGCTGATAGACTTTTTCCTTTTTAAAGTTGCTTTTTCTGCTTTGTTTAAAAAAAAAAAAAGCATACTGAGACAGACTGTCATTCAATAAAGCCACTACTTTCTTCATCAACAATCAGCAACAGATGTAGCCCAATAAAATTAATAGTTTGCAAGTACGCACAAGAGAATACACTTGTCTCTTTTCTCCATCACAAATTTTGTAAAAGCTCTCTGGATTTTAACAGAAAGGCAAAATCAGGAGCTTTTTATATACCTTTTTTTTTTTTTTTTAACTTAAACACTACAACAGCTTTTCTCCCACTCTATGGAAATTTAATGCTGATTAATTTCACTTTCTGAAGTGTGACTCAGGACCCTCCCCCTGCCCTTAATTGTCCACTTTCAACTCAACCTGAATTCTGCACTATTACTTACCAAGATAATTTAATCCTGCAGAATAGAACTTGTGCTCAGAAATATGCAACATTAATATTAATGTACAAACAGAAATATATTACTCATACATAATATATAAGAAATTAATTTTCACTGAAGTATCAGGAGAAGGATTAAACCCCTTAGATCCTTCTCATGCAATTAGCTCTGCTCTTCGGGAAGTCAATGGGACTTCACAAATGAAGGTTTCACATGATAACGCTGGTAAGACCGGGGTTTTACAAAGGCTTGCCTACACTCAAAATATGCCATAAATGGAGTCCTACAATCATATTGCTGTAATTTTAGTACTACCCAGTATGGATGCTCTTAGGCAACATCAATGTTAACAAATATATTGGTAGCATCTGAGCTGGCACACAGCTGCTGACATTGCAATGGTGCTTGACTGCGTGCCCAGTTGAAAAACCTCTGGTGGGACAGCACAGCTGCCCAGGGAAGTTGTGTACCAGCAAAACAAGCACTCTGCTCAGCCACTCTTCAACACTCTCCACAATGATTCATAAAAGAGTTTGGCGAAATAAACACCTGAAGAAAGTACAAAGATCAGTGTTTACAAAGCCATAGTGCTGTCTACTCTCTTATATGGATCTGGATCATGGGTCATCTACTGCCACCACCTGCGTCTCCTAGAACGCTGCCATCAACGCTGCCTTCGTACAATCCTAAACACCCACTGGTCAGATTTTGTGACCAATACATCTGTTCTAGAACAAGCAGCAGTCACAAGTACTGAGGCCATGTTGCTGAGAACACAGCTGCGATGGGCAGGGCACGTCTCAAGGATGAAGGACCACCGCCTCCCTAAGATCCTGCTTTATGGTGAACTTGCCACAGGCTGCCGCAAGAGAGGAGCCCTGAAGAGAAGATACAAGGACTCCCTGAAACAACATCTCAGCCTTGGCCATATTGATCATCATAACTGGTCTACTCTGGCCTCCAATCAGGAGGTCTGGAGACACACCATCCATAACGCTGCTGATGCTTTTGAGAAAGCACGCAGGATCACCCTTGAGGAGAAAAGACAACGCAGAAAGAATCGTGCCTTGCAGAATATACCAACTAAGGAGTCTTTCTGCTGTGCCTTTTGCAACCATTCATGCCTATCTCGTATTGGCCTTTTTAGCCACCAACGCGCTTGCAACAAACGTGGGTAGAGCCTTTCCCAAATCTTCGTTCATGAAGCCTAGCCATGATGAATTCTTAAAATACCAGCAGTTCCTCTTAGGTGCGTCCTGTAATAAGCTCATTTCTTTTTACAGGGGCCTTCAGTCTACCACTTCCCTATCTGAAAAAGAAGAGATCGCAGAATTTATTTCAGAAGCAGAATGCCATACTTCTAGGTTTGAAGGACTTCAACCACTCAACCACCATCACACAAACTACAAGCTGTGAAGCAGGGAACATCAGAAAAATGAGGAAATGGTTAAGACAGATAGTTCAGGAAGATCATCAGGTGATGCAGACGTTCCCTGACCAGGCATATGAAAGAAGCACCAAGCAGCAGAACAGAATCAATTGCAAGTTGGCCACTTCCAGTGATGGTTGCAAGGTTATGTGTGCAGACAACCATGCTCCTAGAGGTTGGCACTAAACCTATTCCAGCCATCAGAAAAGAAACCTAGAAGAGGACTGTTGTGGCAATGGTAAAACAAATACAGAAGGAAATCTGGAAGCTTGGAGTCTCAGATCATTCTTTGTTAGTGAACCACCCCACTTCCTACTGAAATATGTAGAGAGGAAGAGGTGGCTTTCCAGGTATGAAAAGCCATTAAGTGTACCTTTTTACACAGAAAGCTGAATCTGGGAATAGGCAAAAAACAGAGGAAGTCCATCAGGATAGCGAAACTGTGGAAGTATGGTCAAAGGGGATAAATACCTCCCTTTTCTCCTACCTCACACCTTGTTTTTGAGTACACAAGCAGCAAGAAACTTTTAAATGGCTATATTTCTAAATAGCTGTGTTTCTAAGTCACTTTTCAGAGGCATTTCACAGGCATTACAAATGATTCCTAGAAGTGTGCATTGTTATTAGTAGGACTGTATTGAAATCAGGGAAGGTCCTGCCCTTTTATTCCCGGACTTACAAAGCCATATACTAGCAACAAAGGTTTAGCCACAAAAGAAGAACAGGGTAACAGCAACATACATCTGGTAGATGGGACTAAAGGATGGTGGAAACCACAGAAAGACAAAATGGTTGAGATTGATCTCTGGGGGTCCTCTGGTCCAGTCCTCTTGCTCAAGAAGGGGCACCTAGAGCCAGACCATGTCCAGATGACTTCAGCGTATCTCCAAGGATACACAACCTCTCTGGGTAACCTGTGCCAGGGCTCAGTCACCCTCACAGTAAGAGTGTTTCCCAATGTTCAGAGGGAACCTCCTGTGTGTCCATTTGTGCCCACTCCCTCTTGTCCTGAAATGTCACATGGTGAAGGTGGATGTTAGCAGGAGACCCATCTCTGCTGTCATACTCAGCAGAATACATTGTCTATAATACTACAGGTCATATTTTATACAATAATTTGTAATACAATGCAGGAGATGGTATAAATGAAAGATGGGTTTGGCAGGAAAAAAAAAAGCACCTCAGAGTTTTGAACAATCAGGCACAAGATCAACTACCAGCCATCACAGAGCTATGGGAGGTCAAAGAAGAGTACTCTTTAACAAGATACTACGTGTCACGTGGTTTGTTTATGTTCATTTTGTACAAGTTCCTGAAACAAGCAGTTCTCAGGCTACATATCCTTTTTAAATTAATGGTTAGCCATTTTATTTCCCTGATGACAGAGTAACAAATTGGGGTGTTACCTTTGTTGTAGGAGACAAAGTAATACACATATTACATATAACAATTTTATTGAGCAGTGATAAAAAACAATTCTCATTTACAGTCAGTAAAGAAGCTGGCCTGTGGGTATCACAAAGAACAGAACATAGTTTCTTATAGCTTCATTTCTTTTGATTGCTTGACTTCTGCATAAATAGCAGGTATGAACTTCAGCTAAAGCCATCTTCCTGGTTTGGATCTCTTAAAGGCCTCTTTCTTATTTGTATTCTATCACCTGCCGTGTCACTCCTCTTCCCAAATATTGTAAAAACTTCATAGGCTTTGAGATTACTATTCATCTATGAAGTTTTCCTTGAAATTGGCCAAGAGTAGTCCAAAAATAAGAGCGGGAAGTGAGAGAACTCCCTAGAGGTATGCAAACCAGCAGACAAAAAGAGATATGCCATGATTTTCCATGCCTTGTTCCTAAAGATGATCAGGCTAGAAAATCTGGTGAAATTTTTTCTACCCAATTCTGAGATCAGAATGCAAACACTCATCACTGTTCTGATCTTCCTTTGGGGCTGTGTAGAACTTTTAGCATGTTACACTGGTCAGTTGGCCAGCAGATACAAGTACAGGGAAAGCCATATGAGGACAGTGGGCTGCACAGCTGACCTGTTGGGTATACATCTCTGGATGTTTTGTCTCATAAAGCTTTGTTAAATTTCCATTTGCCCTCTCTAGCAATGCTTAAAGCCTTCATCCACATTCCTGTGTCCCTCTCCAGTTCTGTGTTTCTTCAAGCAGGCATTCCCCTGCTCATTGCATTATTTCATGGAAATTTTGGTTTGGTGCTCTTGAAGACTTTGCAGAACGTGTTATCCTTTCATCCTCTCATGCAAAGTTTTCCACAGGTGTGAAGAAGCCAGCTCTCCCAATTCCCCATCTGAAGCCTCTGACAAACAACAAGACAGACACACAGCATTAGATTTTAATGATCAGTGGACAGGTAGCTAAGAAAACTCACTACAATCATCCCTCTTGCTTCTGTTCAGCAGCTCCCAGCCAACACATGGCTTCCTTTCACACAATGAATTCACGGGGTGTGTGAGGTGGGAAATTTGATGCTTAATTTTAGCAGGTTTTATAGCAACAGGATAATAAATAATACCATCCTTGTTAAATTCAGAGAGGATTCTGATAGCTCACTCCTGAAAGTATAAAGACAAAGAGAAGACAAATGCTTAAGGCCTGGATCTTGTCAGCCATGTCATAGCAGTGGCACTACTAGAAATTAAAGCATAGTGCAAAGTGGAGGTAGCCCAATGTGGCAAGAAAAATAAGTTGGCGCTTTCTAAAAATATATACGGTCATATTTTAAATAATACTTTCCTGAAAGCAGTGTTAAAATGATGCAAGAAGATAAAAAATGGTATTTTTAGTGAACTCATTCTTAAACTCCAGAAGCAGAAAATATGTTTGTCACAGATTAGTTCCACAAACTATTTCAAAGCCAAATCTTTGTGCCAGCAACAAACCTTCTTTACCTCTTTCTGTCCCTGGATCCAAAATGCAGCATTAAAATCACTTGTTCTGGGCCTGGATTCACTGACAGGAAACCCAAGGCACTACTTATGTTTACATTACAAGTTTATGTGCTTATTCATAAAAATCCTGTAGTCAGAACGATCAGCTTGGATTGCTGATGAGGAGGATTATTTTAATTTCTTTATGTATTTCAATTAAATGCATGAGTATTGATTTCAGTGCATTTTTTCAGTTAAAAGCACAGTGATTTATATTGCTAAAATGCTATTGCTTGCCCTGCCAAAAGCGTGCATCTGGGAACATTTCTGGGTTGCTCACAGTCTTTTCTCTCTTCTTTTTGCCTCTGACTGCCAGTGCATGCTGCTGAAATAAACCAGCTACTTCAAAAGGCAGTTCCTGTTTTCTGTCCTTGTGAGTCTGGTAGTGTTTTGGGAAAGGGGGAACAACAGTAAGAGAGAAAAAAATAGATTCAGGGCTCATGAATAAATAAAGAAAAAAATGTAATGATAAAACAGTACACCTACCTGAGCTCCATTCTTTCTCCCAGGGTGATACCATTTTCTGGATTCATATGACGTTGTAGAATTTGAGTTTCAAGGAGCCATAAGCTCTCCACAGCATTTGAATTTTGTGACCCCATCTCCACAAGCTCATTGTCAGCCTGCACTTTCACGGCGCCCTCCAGAACGGTGCTGTGATGTGCCTGGTGTCCCCTGCTGTGACATGCCCATCCTGGCATACAGCTCTGCACAACCACAACAGGACAGAAGAGCAGCCCCAGATTCACTTATTCGGTTCTCCAGCTGGTGTGACAGTTGCTAGCTCTCTCCTTTGTCCAGCACTTCTGATACTCTCTGCTAACTGAGTTTCTGCGAGTTTTTTGCCACACCTAAATAAGTGTATTTGTTCCTGCAATAATTTGGCCGTGTGCTCACACTACTCCTTCTTTCCTCAGGACCAGAAAACCCAGAGCATTCTTGTATTATTAATGAAGGACTGTTTGCATTGCCACAGGTAATACAGTATTCACATGAGCTTCACATTCATGGTATAAAGTGACACATAACTAAAGCAATTATGCTTCTACTGTTACCAACAGAACACCAAACTGAGTACAGTTGCACATGTGGATACACCTAGCATAATTTAGGTTTTACCAGTAAACCACTGGTGTAAGCTGGAGTCCATTCCCTCCTCCCCTGCTGGCTAAGAAATGAACAGTATAACATTGTACAGTTACACTGGTGTGGTTCTGCAAGCACAGAAGTCTCGAAGACTAAAAAGTGAGGGCACACCCTCTGCTAGGTCAGGAATTATCTCATTGGGTGCATAACAGCATATTAAGGAGGAACAAGAGAAGCAAGGCCACATAGTTTTTCTTGAACACTGATTTTCATCTTCCAAGTGCTTTACAAAAAAATGTGTCACAATGAAATATGGAAACACACTTTTCAGGAATTATCTATCTTATATTCTGAATAAGGAAAATGAAGCAGATATGTTCAAGCAGATTTGGCCAAATCACCAAAGCAAATGCATGATGGAGAAAGGTCTAGTTCCCAAGTCACTAGCATATCAGACCTTGTTCTCTAATTTTAGACATCACTATCACTAAGAAGGTTATCAACCTAGCCTAAAAGTGTGCTTGAAATGATTCAGCAGTGTGATAGGCTTAGGAGTTCTGACCTGCTCCTCGAGTTGTTGTAACTGATGATGAGCACTGCTCATCATTTCCAATCCCAACCAAAAGGTAACTTTCACTGAAGATGATTCAGGTCAACATCTTCCACTTAGCAAGTAGGGTGAACTCAGCAGGTGATAGCTCAGCTGATGACATTATACCACGTTAAGGTAATTGTACCCTATGACCTTACTGAGTACAGACTAAAAGGGGAAGTTTTCTAGTTCAACCATGAGAATACTTGGGAAAGAAGCTAGAAGTGATACTTTCAGTGTTATCTTTTATCCTAAAAAGATATTTTCTAGTATTTTCATGATTGTAATCTATTATTGAGTTACAAAGAGTATTCAGCACTATTAACGGTCTGACAACTCACCTCTGTATTTTTCTTGCCTTAGGAATGAAATGTTCTTTATACACAGGTTGAAATCTCAAACCACGTGGCTCTCTAATGCAAATGAAACTCTTGCTCCTTAATAGTATGATTTTTTTTGTTGTTGAAAATTTCTCAAAAATCATATGTTTAAGTAGCTATCTTCAAAATCCCATTCAGGTCAAGAAACATTCTTCCAGTGGAGTAGAAAAGCCAGTGACTAATAACAAATTTTAGTAATCCAATTTGTTTTTACTGTTTGTACTATATGCTTATGTTTTCATTTCCCTCAGCCTGGACATCCAAACTATAGCGTTAAACATTTGCATATTACTATTTTCAATTTATATTGTCATTGCTACAATGCTTGTATCACTACGATCTGAAACCAGTAATATCTGCTTGAAAAATAAATTATCTTTCAGGATTTTACAAACATGTACTTATGGTTTCCAGGAGTACCAATACTCTATCAAGAACTTGATAGCTTTGTGCTTCCCATGAGAAAAGAATCTGAAAGTCTACATTACTATGTGGAGACCAGAACCACAGACACAGAAAATTCAGTTTACATCCTCAAAATTGGGGCAGGGGGCAAAAAACGATTTGAAGGAAGCAAATGTTACTCATAAATCTTGTTGTAGTTTAAAAAGCTTTTTCATCTTAAATACACTTTTAAGAGAAAAATCAAAAGGAGTAGGAAGAGGAATGTGATGCCAATCAGAAGAACTAAGAACTCTGATTATACATGATCCAAAAGTACAGGAACATTCACTGATGAAACTGAAAGTGATCACTGAAGGTGGTCTTATATACTTACACCACAAAGGACCTCCAAATCTCTTCTTGTCCAGTTTACAAGCAAGAGAAAGACAAGTTGGTAATATCTTAGCATGGCGACTGTCTTAACACACAATTCTGACTGTGCTTGAGGTAGCACAAATTGGCTTTCCAACATGACTGGGAAGAGGAATTTCATGTAGTCACTCAGTGCAAGATGACAGTAACAGAAACCAGGATGACTATGAATGTATCAGAAATATACAGCTGGTAATCCCTGTGGTTCCCATTTAGCAGCAGTGGGATCATCAATGGCCTGAACCACAGCTAATGGGAGCCACTCTTTTCCCTCTTCTTTAGAAATAAGGTTTGCCTTAGACCTCAGGTTCTCAGTTGAACAACCTTCCATAAATTCCACACCACATCCCATTACCCAGGTGTCCCACTCCACCACCCAATGTGCAAACTGTAGATGAAGAAGTCATGAGAACATAGGCCCTTCCCTGGCAGGTGCATCATGCCTGCTGCTTCATCCTCACCTCTCAGCTCCAATTCCCTCTTAGTGGCACTCCAAGCTCTGTGTTCCCAGCCTATCTTCCCTAGCTCCATAAATACTTACCTCTTGGCCCACATATCCTTAGGCATCTTCCTCTTCCCTCTCTGACTCTTTCTGCCCTCCAATTTGCACAACACTGTTGGACGACATGCTGAGAGGTTTCTTTCCCAACAGATGGGCTCACAAACAGGGAGTGAGGAAGGTGATGGAGGAGCAGCAGCTCCCTAGCCATAGGGTATCCATACACATTCACAGCAACGGGTTGCACCATGCCTATATCATTACGGGTTAAAAGCCTTCTTGAAACAAAAGCTATTATTTCTTATAATTTGTTTCTGTTGTGTTTTTAGGCTCCCTGAACAATAAAGGGCCAATATGCAAGATACCATGCCTAAAATATTAATTCTAAGTCATCTAATGATAACATTTCTGAAGATAAAACAGATTCCCTTCCCTCAGTATATGACCACCCTACGTCCCCATATACAGGTGTTTTCACTTGGTCACTGGTGATTGAGGAAGCAGATTACATCTTTCAAAAGGTTGATATTTACTTTCTAATTTACACTGCATAAATGGGATTTCAATCATCAGCCACTAGGTGTTTTAGTGACATCAAAATATTGTTCATCAGGAATGGAAAGAAAAACAACAAGGAATTGCATCCAAAGGATTGATTTACCTTAGGCTAGCATTGCACTTCTACTTAATCAAAATATGCTATAAGAGGGGAAAATAAGTGTCTACAACACAATTAAGAAAAATAACCTCAATTTGTTGCTCACAAATATTTTTTAAAAAATCTACCCCTTATGCCAGCATTTTGGCTCACTGTGTCTACTCCTCTGTCATTAATGCTCTCTGCCGTAAGCACAACTCCTAGCTGGGGATTCCAACGCGTATGGGAGCTAGGATAAGATTCCAGATCTCAGTTGTGCTGGCATGAAGATAGGTCTCCTCAGTGATAGAGAAGACAATATCCTAGGGAGACTGGAATTAGTCCTATTCCACACAATTCAATCCAAGATGTAAGGCATATCAAGAAGCAAGTAATTACCAGCTAATGGCTGTGGATGGAAATGTAACATGGATCAGCAGCCTAAGCATTTCATGACAAGTGACAAGACAGCTTGAGAAAAGGGGGATTTTTTCCAAAAGGATGAAAGGTGTCAAGAGCAAAGAAAAAAGGGTTACCTCTTCAGTTTGGGAGGGGCTGATTCTAGGCATTGGAGATACTTGTGGTGTTTTCAGCTGTGTACTGTTGCTGTCTGGAACAAGCTCTCTGTGGATTGACTGAATATGGTTTTGGAGTTCACTTTCTGATTCAAACTTAACATTGCAACTAGAACATCGAGTCTTCAGTCCCCCTGCCTTGCTTTTGTTCTCAATGGAACTCAAGTTCTCACTTTGGCCCATGCCTTGTCTGTTACTGCTTGAAGGGATGTTGACACTTGGACTACCACTTTTACTGAGATTAACACAGCTAGCACACAGACCATATGGCAGACCGTTGATGTCAAGTTTCACTAAATCCTGTTTTGAGCGGAATTCCTTCAGGCAAGACGCACACTTGTACAGTTTCTGGAGATGCTGTGTGCGTCCCGTAGACTGCACGGCAGAACCGTTTCCAGTCTTCTGCATATGGAACGTGCCATGGATTTTCAGTTCCAGCGTGGAGGTCACTGTCTGCATGCACACCACACAGCGGAACCCTGTCAAGGAGTTCCTCAGGTCAGGGTGCATTTGACAATGCTCTAAAAATTCCTCCTCACTCTGGAGGGGCATCTTGCAAATCCTGCAGTTTCCAGTGTCCAGGCTCTTACTATGTGTGACCTTATGTTCAGTAAGAGTCAGAAGAGACGGAAACCGCTCGCCACAGATTGGGCACATATAGTGTTTCACTGGTCCCAAGTGTGTCTGCATGTGTTCTCGGAGCCCATTTTCAGAAAAGAATGTTCGAGAACACACATTACACTTGTAATTCCCTTTAATGAGTTCGGCCTTTTTCTTCACTATGGCACTTTCTCCAGGTCGAATGTTGTGGTCTCGAAGCTGGTGGTTTTGCAAGAGAGTCTCCATTGTGTAAGCTGCTCCGCAAATGTCACAGCCATACATAGGCTCAGATGTGTCCACATCTTCTTCACTGCCATCGTGGCTGTTATGGGACTCCTGGCTATTTGTCAACAAGGTCTGGAGTTCCACTTCCTCTTTCTGAACTTGCTCAGATGCCCCATTGGTTCCACAGTTTGGAGTTTTTGTTTCAAAAACACAATGCTTTTCCCTTAAGTGCTTTTCCAGCAAGATGATAGCATGGAAAGCTTTGCTGCAGAACTTGCAGTTGTACTTCTTGCTGTGCGTAGTGATGTGACACTGCAGCTCCACTTCTGTACCAAACGACTCACCACAGAAGATGCACTTGTGTACTTTGCCTTGGTTCTCCAGGTGGTTATGTTTCACATGAAGCTGTAGGTCAGTCTCATTGCGGAAATCCCAGTTGCAAGATGTACATCTGTATACTTTCTTTTCATTACTGTGCTTCACAGCCAAGTGTAGCTGAATGGAGACCTTGGAGTCAAAAACCTCTTGGCACAAGGTGCAGCGGAAGAACACGAATGTATGCATGTCCAGTAGGTGCTTCTGCAAGTCATCCACAGAAGTGAACTGCTTGTCACAGCTTTCACAGATGTAGTAGGTTGAGGTGATCAT